CATGGGAGGAATCTCAGTAACTGGCAGCGGGCAGTGAAGGCCTTATCAGGTCACAGTCATTTGAAGCTGCCAGTCTAGATCCCTGTGGTGTTAAGAATATTCCCAGAACTGGGACGAGGACACGGGGAGCAAGGCTGGAGCCAAGTGCAAAACTTGACTCGTGGTAAACCAGAGGTGACCCTTGAAAATATGGTGTCAGCCTCCCCCAGAAGCAGAGGCTCATTAGAATTGTGCATAAACCCAGAGAGGAGGGGAGCAGGGGCTGGTAGTGGCAGCTTTCCCGGCCACCTGCTGTCAGCCCTGCTTTCTCTCTCTCCTTTAGTGCAACAAAATCAGCGGACCCGTCTCTCTTCCACAGCTCTTCTCCGCTCCTTCTCCTAGACTAGCCTCCTCTCCCCAAAGCTGAGGCCCCTGATGGATGCGGATACAGTCCTACTGTCACTAAAACAGCCCCTCTCTCTCCTGCAGATCCACAAGATGCACTCCTTCTTGGATTACATCATGGGGGGCTGCCAGATCCAGTTTACAGTAAGTTGTTTCCATGTCTGTTCTGGCTTGGGGGTCAAGGCTGGGGCAGGAGGAGACCAGAGTCTATGAAGAGTCTTGCTGCTGACAGATCGACCAGTCACACGTTTTGAGAATGAGGTCATGTTTCTGTCTTCCCCAGTGAGTGTGGCTTTCAGTGTCACATCAGGAAGTTCACGCCACTCAACTGCAGGTGATTTGAGGACCATCCTAACGCTTCCCATTCTTTCAGTAACCGTAGGAGGCTGAGGCCATGGGCAGGTGGCCAGGTCCCATCCCCTGGTGAGCAGGCCGGGCAGCAGGTGACCCGTGCTAGTAGGTCCCACTGCACCACTGCAGGTGTCTTGGTTGTGTCCCTGTGGCTGGAACACAAGCATCATACCATGCCCAGTGGTCAATGCCAGGAGTCAGCCATCCAGGTGGTTTGTCAGGCAGTGGGAAGGTGACTTCCAACAAATGGAGAACCAAGCCCTCAAGGTTGAGGAACAGACTGAGTGTCTGGACTCAGTGGGTGGATTCAGGATCATCTCCGACATGGAATCTGTGAACCCATGGGATTTACACACCCCTCATGCGTATTTGGGGGGGGGGGCTGGGTCTTTCTAAAGGGCCTGTGTGGCCAGTGCTGTGAGTCCATCTGCCCTGGAGCCCCTTGCTTTTCAGTGGCTTCCTGTTCACAGTCCTCCCGGGTTTGGGCAGGTGGGACCTCCAGAAAGAGAACACACAGATGGTGAGGGAGAGGTCTGCGAAGCCTGCGGGAAAGCAACGCAGGTGTAAACAAGAGGGGAATCGAGTTCGCGTGCTCTTGTTTCTCACGTTACAGACGTGTATTCGGGAAACTCAGCCCTGTTTGGCTCCCTAGACCAGCTCAGTCATGTGAGGAAGGCAAGGAAGATGGGCTCAACTTTTTTAGGTTTGAGCCCAAGAGCGCAGACAAAACCCATGTGTTACTGGAACTCAGGATGGTGGTACCCAGAGGACTGGAAGGGGGTTCCCGAGGGGATGAGATAAGGGGTCTCCCTAGACAGAGGCTTGCCCCCCACTTTAATCTTCAAGGGGTCTGCCCACGTCCTGCCTAAACTCAGAGCTTTGTTGATTTGCCCCTGAAGACTGATAGGAGTTAATTCTAAGTTTGGTTCATTTCTTTAAAGTCTGTTTCTCCACTTGTGCTGGATGCCTTGCACCTGTTTCCCTAGACCCTCTCCGCTGTCCACCCTGCTCTCAGTGGAGGCTGGTCTGTGTGAACTGTTTCAGTGGGCTTCTGTGGCCTGAGGGTTGGGGAGATCCAGCAGGAGTGCAACGTGGGGAAGAGAGTGAGGAGTTTGGGGATGCTCACCAAGTACATACACCACAAATGTATGTCTGTGCAAGTGACATAAAGCAGGATCCAAAGGGACCTGGGCTCGCAGGAGGGTATAGCTCAGGGTAGAGTGCGTGCTTGGCATGCATGAGATCCTGGATTCAATCCCCCAGTCCCGCCATTAAATAAATCAATAAATAAACCTAATTACCTCCTCCCCTCAAAAAAAAAAACCCAAAAAAAACCCAACAACAAAGGGACCTGGGGCTGAGAACAGTGAAATGATTCTAACAAGATGATGTTTAATGTAAAGTCCAGGTGAAGATGTGATTACTGCCACAAAATGAGAAGTTGTAATTGTTGTCAACTCACTGTGAATCAATTTGACGTAATGCCACCCCTCTGTAATAAAATTCCAGCTTCATAATGCCTCAAAAAATTGAAGTGATTGAGTCTGAGGGTCTCTGAAGACACACCCACCCAGCCCTGCCACGTGTGCACTGGCAGGTACAGAAGGTAGCAGACATCTTGCTGTGGGCACACCCCTAAGGCTGGCTTCCCTGTGGATGTCACAGAGGAGAGCTCCTGGAAACCCTGTCCCCAGATCTTAAGCAACCCAGCAATTTCAGGAAACTATAGATTTTCACAGGAAAGCGCTATTGATCTGGGTCTGTTTTAGTGTCTGTAGATCCCATGCTTTTGAACAACTCTTTATTCGACCTTTGGGGGCCTGCTTTGCCCTTGGAGTTGTGCTGCAAAGAATCAGCCCCAGTGAAAAGTGGACATTTGACCCCACCAGGCTCCCAGCTCTTACCCCTGACTCGTGGGGGGGAGAGGAGGCCTGTGGCCTCTTGGCTTTGCTCGCCGCTCCTCTCTCACTTCTGCCAACCTTCCCCGACTGGGAGGTGCCCCCTTGGTGGTTCTCAGCCCTTCCGTGTCCACGGATGGACCAGTGGGGGGTCCAGCATGGGAAGAGGGAGCACACACAGACAAACTCAGAGGCAAGGGGACAGACCATCCACAGTGCCTGCAACTCCCTCCTGCAGGGCCTCAGGCTGGGGACTCGGGAGGTTGCTAGGTGTTCTGTTTTGAGCTTTCTGTGAAAAAAAAAAAAAAAAACCCTGCAATGTCGCTTTCCTCTTAAATTAAGTCAGCTGTCTCATTATTAATTTCTTATAACTCAGGCTGTGCCATCTCCTGTAAATTATAAGCTGTGATGCAAACAATTAATAACAATCAGCCGGTCTTATTTAATTTGGTCTATATGTATTTATTATCTGCCGGATCATTTTGTTGAAGCCATCTGGCCCAATGAAGGGAAAGTGGCAGAGGGGCGACGAATGAGGAGAGGGCCTCCTGGCATAGAGACAGGCAGAGGGGGGAAGGAAATGACATTCTGTGCAGTCACCCCCTCCCCCCGAGCCCTCCAGAGTCAAAGGCTCTCCTGGGTACAGAGGATGACCTGGGGTTCCAGGAGCTTCAGCCAGGATAAGCCTGTGTCTCCCTGGAGACCGATGTTCAGGAGACCGCAAGGGAGTCAAGTCCTGCATGTTTCCTCCCCTCCTTCCCCTCCCCTGTGCCCAAGAGACCTGCCTCTTGGATGCACCAGCCAGGCTCTCCTGCACGTGGATTTGGTTGGATTTGCCCAACAGTGGCTGGCGGCCAGAAGTCAAAGGATAGGAGGAGGAGGAAGTTGGGGTGCTGCCTCCCCAGCTCCCTGCCTGCCAGCCTGCTGTTGGGCAGTGACCACATCCCTCGACAGAAGGACACAGTCCCTGCCAGGTGTCCCATCCTGCAGACATGACTCTCACTAAGTCCCTATTGAGTGAACCATGTTTCCTGTCGAGACTCTGGCCAGTATGCACCACAAGCAGGGCAAGGAGAAGGCACTTGCATGGTCCAGTGATGCCCAGGCTTCTGGTCCAACCTCAAGAATATCAAGAGGGCAACCTCTTTCCCTCCAGGCACCAGGTGGATGTATAGAAAGGGCCCTGAATACTTTGGTTGAATTATGAGGATCAAAGCCCAGGTCTTCAAGAAGAGACAGACTTGGGGAAAAGAAGACACTGGGTGAATAAGTGCAAAACGAGTTCCCCTCTGAGCATGAACGTTTATGCATCCACGTAGTCTCATGATGAGTGCCGAGACCTGACTGGGGTTATGTGAACATACGGGATGCATTTAAGGGATTGTTGGGGAAATGGCTTGGATTCAGAACCTGAGAGGCTTTGAATGTTGTGGTAATTGGGTGAATAAAGGACTGTGGGGAAGGATCTTGAGCAGAACATGGGCCATCAGGGCCACGCTGTAGGGAAGTAGGTCTGGCAGGGTTTGGTGACAGGCACTGATGTGGTGACAGGTGAAGCAGCCGTCCCGGCGACGGAGCAGAAGAGGTGGCTGGAAGGGTAGCAGTGGAGAGGGCCGTGTGGAAGGAAAGGCCACTTGCCTTGACTTAGGATCCAGTGAGGAGACAGAAAGCAAGAGGTTGAAGGGTGAGTCTGGGCTGACTCAAACTTTTGGGGCCTGAAGACAGAAACCTGGAAGCCAGCAGGAGCTGCCCGACAGCAGGGTGAATTTGCCCGGGGACGTACGCTCAGTATCCCAGGGGAGACGACCCTTATAAGTCCAGACCTTGGTTTCAGGAGAGAGGTGGGTCTGGATGAGATGGCCAAAGAGAAGAAAGGGGGCCCAGAGACAGAAAATAGTAGAAGACCTCCGTCTGGCAGCTGGGGAAAGGGGCACACCAGGCGAGGAGAGATGCCAGGGGACAAGGTCCCGGGGGAAGAAGTAACTCAGGGGAGTGGAGGGGAGGTTACAAGGCCAAGGGAAGTAATCCCAGGTGCCAGAGGGGAGTCTAAAGGTGAAAGATGGAAAACAGGGATGGGTTGTGTCATGTGTAGGCACAAATCACTTTCAAAGGAGCAACCCCAGCAGAATGAGACGGGAGACCCAGGAGTCAGGGCGACAGTGGAAGGTGGGCAGTGAACACAGCGGGTACCACTGCTCACACAAGAAGGGTGACCGTGAGGGAAGTGGGAGGCAGGAGGCGGGAAGGCGGACGGCCACCTGCGGATGAAAGGAGGAAGGTTTCAGCTCTAAAGTAAGAAGAGGAGACCCAGTGGCAGGAAGAGATTAAGGATGCTAAAAAGACCCCCAGTCAAGGATTCTGCTTCTTGTTTGGTCACATGGACCCCATGAGAATCTGATCCAAGGTCTAGATCCTCTCACTGGGAAGTGCTCACACCAGTACTGCACACAGTTTCAGGAGGCCAGGGGCGCCCTTGGGGACCGTCTTTGTTCCTCGTGTGACTCCTTGTGTTGTCAGAACTCCGGAGCGACTGTCACATTGCAGCCTTGGAGTAGCTGGGCGGAGGTACAGTGGGGACTCCAGGGACAGAGGCAGAGCTCAGGATGTTTGGCACGTGGTACAGCAGCTGAAAATAAACCCAGATACTGGAAGTTCACATACGAAATACAGTTATAGGCAGCATAGACGAGACAGACAGCATAAGGTATTTGGAAGGAAAATGGGAAGAAAAAGTAAAGGTTTCTTTTGACAATGATTGCCTTTCCACATGCAAAAAAAAAAAAAATGTTCACCATAAAATGGGTTTCCCCAGAGAGAAGTTGTAAGCTATGTAAATGTCCAACAGTAAAATAGTGGCTGTGTCATGGCAGTGCCTCCTTTAAGTGGACTGTGAGAAAGCCATTTGGAATGATCATTATAATGATAAATAATATATGCTATATATACAGACAATAACTAAACAAGAAAAGGCAAAGAAAATAGGACTTATTCAGCTAGTAGAATCCTGAGTGGTCATTTTTTTTCTTATTATTTTCGGATGGCCCTTTTTATCCTTTGTAATTTTTTTAAAAATTAAAGATCATACTGCTTTCTTTTATCTCTGATTTTATAGTCTACATTTTAATAACAGAATATGATATAATGTAGTAAGCGGAATGTGGCTTCTCCCAGATTAACCTTCAAGCCTAAAAATAGATCACCTAGTAAAGGCTCTCTCGCATAATCTTTTCTGACCCTAACCCATTTGGGACATCCTGTGTCCATGCCTTGCCTCAGTTTGTCTTAAATCTAGACCCTGGTATAGGTCTCACAGAAATAAGGGCGGGTCCTGGGTTGAAGAGGAGAATGCTTTGCACTTCCCAGGAAATGGACCAGGCAACCTCCGGGGTCTTTCTCCTCTGCCCACGTTCCTCTTTCTTTGCCTGTATGGAATTCTGAGAAAATAGAATAGCGCAAGAATTAAACCTATTATTTAAGAAATGGTCCAGACTAATCAGTATCTCCACCTACAAGGCTCGTTGTGTAGATCCAAATTGTATACAAATCTAAAAAACAAAAACAAAAAAGCTGCCCTAAAGCAGGTGATGTCGCAAAGGTTGGTGGCAGGGAGGCTAGGGAACT